GGTGACCTCCCGTGATGTACCTTTATTGGCCTTTCTCCTTTTCTAATTAATCTCTCTTCCTGTGCCTCCCGGTGCTTCTTGGGATCATCTCCCCGCATGCTACTTGCCCGCTAGATCCTCCAATTAGTGATTTTGCGGGAGGGAGAGGTAGCCGTACCTAAGATGTTCTGGCCCGGGCAGATGGGCCTGGCAGCATGGATGGACATGGCTTCCCTGGGTGGACAGGGCTTCCCAGCCACAGGCGGAGTGGGCCTGAAGAGCGGGAAGGAGGAGCAGGAGAAGCCACGACAGCCCGTGGGCTCAGAGCGCAGAGAGCCTGTGGGCCACAGGGCCTTCCTCAGAGTTCTCCAAGCCAGACCTAGCCCAGTCCCCAGAGAGGCAAAAGAAAAAAGTCTCTTTCATCTGACAATGTGAAGCTCCTTTTATGTGGAAACTGCGACGCACTTAAGTGACTTTCTAAGCACGTGAGTACAGTCATACCTTGGTACTCGACAGCTCTGAAACTTGGCCAATTTTGTACTTGATGCATCTTGAAGTGAAAAGTGTGTCCCGGTACCTGTCCCCTGCTTGGTACTCAGCATGTCACGTTCAGTTGCCTCATGATTTGCTACCCTTTCCAGCCAAATAACTTGGGTGGTACTTGCTGGTTCTGGTACTCAGTGCGCCTCCCAGAACTAAGTACTGAAGTACCACAGTAGAAGCCTCTGTAGTACAAACTATGTCTGTCCCACTCTGTCATGAGACAGCCCCTGGTGAGCCTTATTCAAGGCACAGACTTCAGATTATAATGAAGAATTATGTGTCTTCAATCTGGAAAGGCCACACCACCCCTGAATCCGTCAGTGTAGACACCAGACTGTATTCCAAGTCTCTCACACCAGGCTGGGCCAAAGAGGCCCTGGCAATGGGAACTGCGCCCTGGTTCAAGGATCCACTATAAGGGTTTCCCATCTCACTCAGTACCCACAGGGCACCAGGGAGGGGCACTGTGGCCTCCAAGCACCAGTCACAGACTGGCCAAGGGCCTTCCTCCTGCAGAAGCCGAGTGCACTGAAGGCAAGGCCAAGTCTGGACCTACCCCTGTCCAGAAAGACCAGACCCCTCCTCCCTGGAACTGGTCTCTCCCAGCAGGGTCAAGGCACGGAGGGTGATGGAGCTGGGGGTTTCCAGTGCAGACCACAGGAAGAAGCAGTGGCCGAGAAGTGGGTATGTGAGCTATGTGGGGAGCTCCATGGCAAGGAGCACTGCAGACAGAGAAGGTTGCTTAGCGCACAGACCGAGGCCTGAGCTTGCTGCAGCAGTCACTGCGGCTGGGGACCCCTCCCTCCGCACCCCTCCTCTTGCGTCACCTGCATGAGCAGCTGGGTGGGTGGCAGGGATGACCGCTGGAGAGACAGGAGAGACCTGAGCCCTGGATGGGGATACTGCCTTGCCCAAACTGAGCGGAACCTGAGAAGGGCAAGAAGACAGCGGCAGGTCGAGCGGCTTCTGTGGATGAGCCCTTTGCACTGGCGAGCGCTGTGACCCCTCTGCCCTGCGCTGTGTTGACATCTGCCAGCTCTGGGAGACGGAGGATGGATGATTTATTTATTTCTCTTTCTTTGTGCTCATCTGCGCTTTGTGAGTAAAGACCAAGTGTGGAAGGCTCCCGAGGGCCCAGGGCTCCATGGGGGTGAGCCCCTCCTGTCTGGCCCCATAGTGAAAGCAGGGGCATCATGGAAGAACCTAAAGCCAGAAGGCTAGGGGGACAGCTTAGTGGGAGGGTGCTTGCCCAGCATGCATGGAGCCCTGGGTGCCATCCCCGGCATCAGAGGAAAAAAACTAAAGCTGGGACTTGGTGAACTCTCCCTAGGAAGATGCCATCCTGGCTGGACACCAGGCTCTAAAGGCTGCCTCTACAGACACAGAAATGCGGCCACCAACCAGCTTTCCTTCAGCGCCATGAGCACTAGAGGAGCTCCCTGTCAGGAAGAGTTAAGATCCTCTTCCAGGAACTCCTCCATCACTCAGGACCCCGGGCACAAGGAGGACCTCCACAAAGGAAGAGACAGCCACCGTGGGTGTGATGCCACACTCCTGTAATCCCAGCCACTCCAGAGGCTGAGACAGGAGACTCCCAAGTGTGAGGTTAGGCCAGGCAACTTAGCGAGACTCTGTCTCAAAATTTAAAAATGTGAAAAACAGCTGGGGATGTATGTAGCTCAATAGGGCAGCACTTGCTTAGCATGAATGAGGCTGCCTGTGGGTTTCACCCTCATCACTGTGAAAGAAAGAGGGAGAGAGAAAGAGAGAACAAGAAGGAAGGGAAGGAAGGGGGAAAAGGCAGCGGAAGAGGGAGAGAGCGAGGGAAAGGATGACTACGGGTCAGTGAGCCTGGCCTCCAGCCCTGGCTCTCACACTTGCCCAGGGGCCTGGGGTGGGGGTGGGGTGTGAGCCGCCTCCAGGCCCTCCCCTGCCTTTCCTTGTTCCACTCTGCCCCCTACTGGCGCCCTCTCGCCACACTGGGCATTCCGTTCCGTTCTTGCATGCATTCTGTCCCTCCCGCCTGGCTTGCCCTTCCTTCTGTAACATGGGCCCTGATGGGCTTCTCTCGCCCTGGCCTCCTTAGCCCTCCCTCTACGGGCACCCTCAATGCTCAGCACCAGAAGCACCATCCCATCTTTAGCCTCCTGCCCGGTGTCGGACACAGGGTGTGTCAATAAATGCTAGGAAAGGATACAGGGGCCTGGCCTAGTCCAAGCCCAGATCCTGCAGACTTGGGGCACCCACAGCCCACCCTCTGGTTGACTCTGAGACACGTGGCAGCTGGCAGGGTGGGTGAGCTGGAAGCCTGCAAGCTCACAGTGAACCCGAGGATGTGACAGGAGGCCAGAGCCTGAGGAAGTGGCCAAGGAGCCCCATGTCCGCCCCCTAGGGCCCACTCGTGGCCTCCTCAGCCTGACAGGCCTGGAGGTGTTGTGGATGCAGACTCCTGGCCCAGGGCTGCAGGCTGCTCAGGGGAGCTCCAGGCCCCACCAAAGTCCACGCGGAAGGTTGTGAGGGCCGTGGGGGATGAGTTGTCACTGCCCGTCTGACCTCCCTGGCCTAAGTTTCAGGTGAGCCTGCTGTGGCATCTTAGAGCTCCCCTTGCTGACCGTCGTGTCCTGGGAGGGCATCCTGCAGACACCTGTCTGCTGGTGAATACACTAGCTTCCCGGTGTCTGCATCCGAGGGTCCTTCTGGGCTGGGCCACGCCGAGCCTCTGCCTGGACACCTCCGCCACCTCTCACCCTGTCACCTCCACGGCCGTGCCTGTTTGTGTCCCTGCTTCTGGCCCATTTGCCAGGATCAGCGTTTCCCCTTGGGGGATCAGCTCTTTCCCTTTTGGGGGATCGTAGATACTCCTTTTCCAAAACTAAGGCTTTTCAGGCCGAAGAAGAAGGAAAAGGTAGGGACCAGGCGCATCTTCCCCTGGGTCGGGTGACTTTACAGTGGGGCAAGACACCCACGTTCAGCCCTGCAGAGCCACGCGGACTTGAGGGCTGGGCGAGCCAACTGGTGGCCCAAACTCCCAGCAATCAATCTCCCCCAGGCAGAAGAGAAAGGCGGGCAGGGCTGGGGGAGTGGAGCGAACCATTCTTGTCAGCATGGAGGCTCCCAGGGAGCAAGTACTTTTGATGATATTGAACATGGCAATTGATTTTTTTTTTCCAAATAAACATGCAGGAGGAAATGGTAACAGGCATTTGTTCCTGACGGGAATCAATTGACCCCAAATTGGAAGAAAATCTAGAAATACAAACAAGCACAAAGGAAAGCGTTCGGGCCGCCCAGGCCTACCCAGTGAGAAAGAGAGGGACGAGAGCGACGGGCAACAGACCTGCCTGTCATTCCTGTCCCCACCACGGAGCTTCTCTGTGGCTCTCCGGCTAATGCAGTGCCAGTAACACAAAGCGGGGCCACAGCTAACACCTCATGAGCTCAGCACCAAACTCTAGTGCAGAGCCTCTTGTGACCACATCTTAGTTCATCTCCAAACAGCCCAATGTGGGATGCAGTGTTGTCCCCACTTCTCAGATGAAATCACCGAGGCCTCTTGTCCCAGGTTCACATGACCCACAGCCAGCGGAGCTGGAGCACAAATCCAGTGCATGTCAGAGTCTGTGTTCTCCAGTGCTGCTCTGCAGACTCCCCAACTGTGAGCTGTTACCTGGTACCTTAAACTGGCCTTAGAATGAAGAAAAGACCTGGGCCCTGGAGGTCCATACCCAGCAACCCACTAGCCTTCACCCCGAAATGGTTAGTGAGGAGCCCACGCCCACCCTCCGGGCTCCTCCAAAGCCAGGCGCAGGCAGAAGGGGGCTGCTCTGTGGCTTCCGTGCGGCCTCAGTCTCCAGGCTGTGCCCTGTGTGGTGGCTGTCATCAGCAAGATAAACTGTGTCATGTCGCAGTGCATCACAAGCCTCATTTGCAAAGCACTGTGCAATTCTGACGCCGTTCAGCAAGCACGTGTGGGATAAAAGGCCGCGGAGCAATGGGCTGTGCGCTCCTGTAAAGCCTGCCTGTGTTTCTTGGTCACAGCCTTGCGTACACGTGTTTGTTTAGAAGTGAGCCGGTTCTGGGAGTGTACCTAATTACCTTAAGCAGGGCTTATTAGTCCTGTTAACTAACACTCCCTAATCTATGAAACCAAGTGCTCAAAAGCAGCCTTTAAGGTAGGATTAAGACAAAAACAAGCTACTACAAAATGGAATTGAGGCCGGCTTTCCTAGAGCCGCTCTGGGACTACTGCCGTAAATTGTGCCGAAAGAATTTCCCATTCCATGTGGTAATCGCTGCACGTCTGACTTGTAGTAGGTGCTCGATAAATACTCGTGGGATGGATCGGTGGGCAGATGGACAAACAAGTCCCATCTGCAGTTGCACCATTCACTGCCCTGGGACCCTCTGCAACCCCTTGAGGGTGAGATGGATGGGGGACCGGTGGGCGTCTCACTGTAACACCCCGTCTTCTCTTCCAGGTAACACCTGCACCATGGCCGGCTATGCCCGCCTCAAGAATGTCCTCCTGGCAATCCAGACCCGCAGGCAGCCCCTCCAAAGAGGTGACCACAGACAAGACCCTGCCTCCCAGAAGCGCCTCCTGGTGGAATCTCTGTTTAAGGACTTGGACACAGATGGAAACGGCCACCTCAGCAGCTCTGAACTGGCTCAGGTGGGTACAGCGTTCAGTAAAAACCGAGCTATTTGTTGAAGAGACACGAGCGACTCATGGGAGGACAGTCTGTAACCATCTCTGTCACGGCGCACCAAAGAGGCCCTTCTCCCACACTCCTGGGAATCGGGCAGCTTGTGTTCAGCGCCTCTGAGAATCCCACAGACGAGCAATGTCAGTCCTTCTTCCCATCAGCCACCAGCAGCCACTGTTTACAAACAAGCTGCAACACCCTCCCAACTATCCAACAAAACCTCGCTGGTGGCCGGGCCTGGTGACTGATGTTTTCGTTGGGAAATCAATCTCGTCCTCCTCAAGTCCCTTGCTTTCCTCAGGGTAAAGGTCAAGGGGAAGTAGTGCTTAGTTTCCAGAAAACACCTTTGGAGCTTTAACCTGGGGGTCCCTGAGTCCTCTGCCCAGTGACAGTACTGTTCCTTGGTACCCAAATATCAGCCAGCCAAACCCCAACCTGCTCGCTTGAGGGAAGTCCTATGTCTAGCCCCAAAATCACTGGTCTGGGGAAACACTTGCCCTGCAACCTGTGGCTTACCTCCCTCCCCAAAGGCTATGGGCTTGAGAGCAGCACCTGCGTCCCTTGGATCAGCTGCAAGGTGATGCAAGGGTAGTTAACATCAGCAGCACAAAAGCAAGAGGAGAGTTTGATCATTTCCTAGGGCCAGGGCCACTTCGGCTACATGGAGGGCCCTGTGGCAGAAGGACTGGCGTGGGCTGGAGGGGCCTGCATTCCTGCTCCTGCTGTGCTTGTCTGGTGCTAAGAGCTGGGGTCCCTGGGGCCACACTGGCCAGGCGTAAAGATGCATGAGAAAGTGGAGTCGGCATCCCCAAGTCTTCTCCGGAGACTGTAGAGGGTCACCCAGAGGAAAGTAATAAACGTGAGTCCCCACCTCGGATGCCAGTTGAAAGAGTTCTTAACTATGACACAGTGACCTCTTCAGGCAGTGGCCAGGTCACTTGGAAGGGCCGGGGGAAGTGCCCTGGCCAGCCCTTTTGTTTATGACCAATAAACACGGACCAGTTCTTTGCTATGTAGGATAGTGGCTGAGAATGCAGACTTCAGAGGCAAAGTAGCTGAGGTTGAGCACTGCCTCCAGCATCTATGAGCCCCTGGGTCTCGGGCCTTCTGTCGCCAGGCCTTGGTTTCTCATCTGTAAACCCCCGAGGGTCATGATGAGGACTGAAGAAGCCAAGGTGTACAAAGTGCTGCTGGTGGTGTCTGGCACGTGGCTGTTTCCCAGTAGATGATGGTGGTCATTATCATTGGCATCACCATCGACTTTGTCGTGATTATTTCCCACTTAACCTTGGAGCCATCCTCTGCCATAAGGTAGAGACTGCTGTTAGTCTGCTTCACAGACATTTTCAGATGAGGAAACAGGCTCTAAGAAAGCAAAAACCTTTGCTTTAACACCAGACACCCACAAACCCTGAGGAAGCAGCAGCTGTCTGAAGTTCTAGAGTGCACGCCCCTTTCTGTCAGGGCCTCCGCTCCAGAAGGCCCAAGCCTACTTCAAGGTACACACCGGGAATCCCCTCTGCTCACCCAGGCCTGAGCAGCAGTGCAAACCCACACACCCCAAGAGGCCTGCTGCCCACTGCTTCAGGGAATCAGCATGTCACCACTCCCGTCACCACTTGGTCCCCAGCTCTAGCTGAGCCCCAAGGGGCAAGCCACCGACCCACAGGTGACTCAAGCTGCCCCAGGAGAGCCCAGGTCCTGTTAGTCCTGGCTACCTGCAGGAGGAGCCACCCGGTAGAGTACCAAGGCCAGGTGACAGCAGCTTGCCCCGACAGAGGCAGCTGTGAGCTCTTGATGCCGCTCCTAGGCAGCTGCCAGAGAAGCAGAACCATCTTGGATTCCTTGCCTGAACCTGGAAGAGACATGGCCCAAGGCACTCAAAGCCATTAACAAGCATGGTAATTGGACTATGATTTCCTCTTTAACATTTAATATATTTAAAGTCCATTTCATAAATCTGCCAAGCAGAACCCAGCTAACACGGGCCTTTCCTTGACACTGAATCAAAGGCACCAGGGAAAAACTCATTGGGCCTATGAAAAGTTAATCAATTTCCAATGCAGAAATAGACAAAGGGAAATTTCCATCTTTGGAAGATTGATCTCAGGTGTTATGGTTGATCTCCCTTTTATCGAATGCTCACACTTGCTGGGTGAGGGGTCATTTTTTTAACATTATCACATTAAATTGCCTTTAATACAGCAGGCCAAGCTGAGAATGTTAAACAAAGGGAAAATGCCTCTGCCCTTCTCTCCCTGCCAAACTAAAATAAAATCACTCCCTCTGTTCTGAGATTTCCTTCTGAGCATTTTCCTTGCTAGACCTCCGGTTTTCAGCACTCTGGCCTCTGACTCCAGCTGAGTGAGAGTGCGTGGACTTTCCACCCCGGTTACCCTTTGACCTATAACTGGCTATGCTGGGGTGGCCTCTGTCCTGCAGCCCAGACACCCCCCAGAGAGGGCTCCCAAGGGCCCAGCCAGAATCCCAGGGGTGAATGTTTGTGACCCTGGCAGGCGCAGCAGGCAAGGGTGGAGCTCAGGCCTGGTCTGTGGAGTGCAGCCGCCCTTCCCGGTGATGAGCCAGGCCCGGGTTGGCAAGTGATAGATGCAGAAGCAGTCGTGACCAGGAATCTGACCAGGGCTGCTGGGGGCCCTCGGTGCCCATGCTAAGGTCAGGTACTATTGCAGGGTTCCTGTGACTGAGGCCCCTTCTCTCTCCTTCCCCATCAGCACTACGAAGGGGTAGACCAGGTGGTCTCTTTAGATTGCCAGGTGGGGAGGGGCCAGGCCTGAGCTCTGGTCCAGGCTCTACCCCAAGCACTGCGTGAGTTTAAGGAAGTCACTTCGCTCTCTGAGCCTCAGTTTCCCTATCTGTAAAATGCAGATAAGCAAAACCGAGGAGCTTCCGATGCTCCCTGAGGCCCACTGAGCTTCCCCTGAGCCCCTTCTCAGCCTGAGTCATTTTTAGCCACACCCATGGCCCTGAACTCACACGGGGCTCCGGCCCTGTCTCCTCCTCACCCACAGCATGTGCTGAAGAAGCAGGACCTGGATGGGGACTTGCTGGGGTGCTCGCCGGGTGACCTCCTCCGATTTGACGACTACAACAGCGACAGCTCCCTGACCCTGCGCGAGTTCTTCACGGCTTTCCGTAAGTCCAGCCACAGCTTGGGTGCGGGGGGCGCAGGGGCTTGTTGCTGTCGACGTCCCTGTGCCGTGATGGGGTTAGGCCTGGGGCCTGTCCTGAGCTGTCTCGGGGTGGCTTTCTTCCTCAGGGGAAAGCGGTTGCCTTTGTTTTGTAACAAACCTGAGCTGTAAGGAGAGTACAATAGGAGAAGGGAGACGGTTGCTGTTTCTTCTGGACAAAGATGTTTCGCCGGACCCAGGCCAGTGGTTGAGGTGTCGCTGTGAGGGGCACTCTGTGACTACACGTGAAGGGAGCAGGCTTTAGGGTTATCCTTAAGCTACTGCCGGGTCCCCCCAAAGCCCTGCCCAGGGAGAACCCTGCTGGAGGCAGGACAGGGGCGGGGAGTAGCCACCACCCAAGGACAATGGAGAGAGAGGCGCCAAGCTGAAGAGAGGAGGGGACCCCAGAAGCTCAGAAGGAAGGAGCTCTAGAGGATATGGAGCAGGCCCCAAAGGCCCCTGTGGTATGTGTAACCAAGTGAACGGGTGTCCCCAGGACGTGTGACTTTGCCCCGAGGTAATCTTCTGGCCAGGATATCACATTAGTCACAATCGAGGTGGAAGAGCAGCACACAGAGGACAGCGGCAAGGGGCGGGAAGGACAGTGCTGGGCACAAACTGGAGCCACAGGGGACATTTGTGGCCCAAAGAGGTGAAGCCTCTGTGTACCCAGAACAGGTCATGTGCGTGCTCACAGCTCTAACTGCAGGCTATGACCTGAGGAAGCGGGTCTGACTGCCCCGGGGCACTGCGGACCCCTAACCTCAGAAGCCGCTATCCCCCTCAGCCCCGACCCTCAGTGGAGTCTCGCTTTTCAGAAAGGTAGTCTTGCTTCGTTCACAATCGCCATTTCTCTGAGCTGCTGCTCTAATATTCACAGGGCCTGAGGAGGAGTTCTCGTGTTTCACTGGCCAGGCAGGCTTTGTGGTGAATAGCAGAGGTACCTGGATGACACAAGGGAGACTGGTCCCAGTGGGCAGTGCTTATATGCTTGATGTGGGTCCGGTGGAGACCCTCCTAGTTCATAGCATCCTTGGTACTGAAAGCCAAAGTCCAACCGCCGATTACGGGGCTGTGCTTGATATACAGTGATTATATTTGGTCTTCATCCTCCTCCTCCTCCTCCCTGCCCACTAGTAAAACTCATATCTGGTTATACTTGTTCATAGGAAGGTGTAAACGACTGGTAGATTTATCCTTCTGTGGGAGATTCCCGCTTTGCGTACCCAGGAGCTTATGCTCGTAAATAAATCTCTAGCATTTAGAGTGCTCAGACGTATCAGCAACTCCGAAGACCTGGCTCAAGAGAGCTGACTGCTCACTTAGCAGGAATTTTGCAAGCAAACAGTGGAATAGCTGGTAGCTTTAAATCGTGGTAGGGATTTTTACACCACAGAAATCTTTACCACGCAAATGTCACCCAAAGAGTTGGGGGTGTTTTTGTCTTCCCCGGAGACCCAGCTGTGAGGCACTGACTTGGCTATCGCTAGATGGACCCACTCTCCTGTCCTCCCCATCTGCTTGCTGCACAGCTCTCCTCATCCACCTCCCCAAACCGATATCTCTTGATGATTCTAATCTTGTAGAACATGGACAAGAATAGATCAGTTAAGGCAGACTACAACAAGTGCAGCTCTCCAAGTCGGAAAAAAAGTGATGTGTTCTCTGGGGATGGCTCTAAAACATTTCCAGAAACGCTTTCCAGGTTTGGCCCCCTCTACAGAAGGAGCAATGAAGGAAATCAGTGCATATTAGGAGCCAGAGGCACAGGCTGGGATTCAGGAATTTAGGACATAGAGCAGACATCACCACTCTTATGTCCCATGACGGCATCATTAAGCAAAGAATAGTGCTGCTCCGGCACAGCCCTGGGACCTGGGCCTGCAGCAGCCTCTACTCAAGGGCCTGATTCCCGTGAATAAATGAGTCTTGGAAAAGCCAGCAAGCTCTTGGCTTTATTCTCAAAGAAATGAAAATACAAAATACCCTTACTGTCTAGGATGAAAGGCCCCCCTGGCTCCCCTAATGGTCATTACAAACATGAGCCACCCTGGAAAAGGGGTACATGAATAGCTCACCCCCAGCCCTATGTCTCACACAAGGCAATATGGTCTGCTCCCTTTATTCCCGGATTATTTCTTGAAAATCTTTATAATCATCATTTTTAAAGCAAATTAGATTCTGCTGTCACTTTGGACTTGTTTTGAACCAAGCAGCCAAACCATTCATCACAGCCCAACCCAAATAATAGATATGCAATAAAATGTAAACTTGCAGCCGTTAAAGAAGCCACAAAATGAGTTAATCCAGCTATAAAGGCTTGACATGCAGCCACTCGGAGCACCCGGGGATCAATGGGTTTTCCAAGTCATAGCAACTCTAAACTAAATTCCCATAGCTGTGGGAATAGCTCTATGGCTCAGTGAATTTTAAATAGGTAATTGAAATGAGACATATAGGTACAACTTATTACCCAGCGATCGATGGCCATTCAAGAAATCTCACTAAAACCCAGAAAGTTATATCTCACACATCTCAGCCACATTTTAGATTTAATTTTAAAAACAGGAACTGATGGGCCAGCAGTGGTTACAACTTTGAAATTGTGTGTTCCGGTCTCTATTTTTGCCAGTATCCTTGGGTGCAAAGCAGAGTGGGCTCTGTGAGGTGGTGCGTCCAGTTCCGTAGCCCTGGGATGCAGACTTGGCTGCCTTACAAAAGGCTGGAAGGGTTTGGGAGTGTTTTCCCTACAGAAGTGACTTGCACTGATAAGTTTTTGAGGTTGAGGGTGCTGAACTCCTAAATCATGGCTTCCCTTGCAAATTTGCCCACTTGCTGAGCTGGTGTTTGCCATTGTCGGTAGCTGGCTGAGGGCAAGGCCAGGAAGCCTGTGGCTGCCCATGCGCAGCTGAGCTGGTTCACAGTGGGGCTGTGCCTCCTCCCTGGCCCCAAGGATGAGCACCTCCCCCCAGAAAATGGCTGGAGGGCAGGAGCCTTAGCCCCGGGAGTCCGTTCAGTCCTTCTGGCTATCAGGTAGAGATCAGGCTCCCAATTACCGGCCTCCATACAGTGACAGGAATAAAATATGAGAGTGGCCTCCCTCCTCATCTCTCAGCTGAACCTTCTTTGGGCCTCCCAGATCAAAGGCAGGGCTAGAAACTAAAGACACGGTGCCCACTCTGCAGATGCCCCCGCCCTCCCTCACCCGCCTCCCTAACAAGGTACAGCGCCACCTGTCCCTGCCGAGGCGGAGACCCAGGCTCCAGGGTCACTGCTGAGCAAGATGAGCGGCTGCCCTGTCTGATCATCGCAGTCAATCAAGCTAAAAGTTGCTGGTCTCCAAAGCTTCTCCATTATGCATGCCTTTGCACTCTCCTGCATGCTCACGTTGGGACCATGGGAAAAAAACATGTTGCTCAAATGAGGATTTTTTTTCTCTTTAAATTCATTAGAAGTTTTTTCTGCTTTTTAGAAAAGATGCTTGTCCTTCTAATTAATCCTGGGAGTACAACCCCAGCACATGTGCTGGATGCGGGGGAGGGTTTGGGCAGTTAGTCGCACAGGACAAAGGGCTTCTCGTGGTAACATTCCATACCTCCCGCGGGCGCGGACAGGGTGGGAGTCAGACACCCTCCCTCACCTTTGGCAGGCGCAGGCTGCAGGCGAGCAGAATGGAATACGCTGTTTTAATCTGATTATTGCCCTATTTCTGTAGCCAAGGCAACTCTGACTCAGGTGAACTGTGCAGCTGCAACTGTTTCTCTGCCATCATTACTGCAAAGGGGAGCAACTTCCCCATGCACATCCTCCTCCCCTGGAGTGAACAGTCCCCCGCCCCATCCCAGACTTCCACCCACTCCGGGACACCGGTCCTCGCCCCAGCCTGTGCTGAGCAAGGCGCTAAAGTAAAACACTGCAGTGCAAGCGCCCTTGCTGACCAAGGCCGCCCGGCTCTTCGTCTCCAGGCGTGAGTTCGGGCAGGTTAGGTGGCAAGGACATTGCTCTACCCTGTGCCGTTTGGGCGCGAGTTTTGGATAGTGAGGAGCGAGAGCTCAGGTAGTCTGGGGTTTATCAAAAGCTTTCACTGGATTGACTTGGAGAGGACTGAGGTCAAGAGCCTTGGTGCCAGTGATTCCTCTAACCCCAGAGAGCGAAACTGGCTACGTCATGCTACGGAACTGGCTAAGAAAACTGATCCACTGCTCTGGGCACAAAACAGTTGAAGTTGGAGGGACCAAAGGAGGACGTGACAACTGTAAGACCTACACAGTGAGTCTCGCACTCCCTCCCAAGTGCAGAGCGGGGCTTCAAGGAACGGGTCCTGCTGGATTCGCTCAGTGCCCCGAGGCCAGGCTCGAGGCCTGGGTCCTGAATCTGTACCATAAGTGACTGTCAATATTACTGCAACTGATAACCAGCGCTTACTACTCCAGTTAGTTAAAGAGACTCCTAACATTTAACATGTGTCTGCACTATTTATTATGTCCACTGTTACAGAGGAAGAACCTGACACTCAGAGAAGTTAAGTACCCAGCCCCAGGTCACACAGCCAGCAGGTAGCAGAATCGGAACTGAAATACATGTCAGGTGCCAGAAGCTACTCGTGCATTTAAACACACTTTGTAGCTCATCTGCATTCTCCAGTGAGGAGAGTCTCACCGTCCCAAGCCCCCACTCAGTGGGCCTGTCCTCCAGGAGGTTGTCCTCAATTTGTTCTCCTCTGCTGAGTCTACTCCTTCCTCTGTGCACCCACAGCCCTGGACTTAGCTCTGCAAGGCAACAGCCTGGGGCCTGGCTGTTACCAGAGTGGACCCCTAAATCCTGGCTCTGCCATTTACTGACCGGCTGTATGGCTTGGGACAGATCCTCAGCAGGAGCTAAGGCAGCTGCAAATCCCTGCCTGCGCAGTAGACGTCATAACCAGCAGCAGGGCTCAACACGATGTTCACGTGAGGGGCCAGCAGG